ACCCGCCTCTTCTCAAGTCATTAAACCCGCCTCTTCTCAAGTCATTAAACCCGCCTCTTCTCAAGTCATTAAACCCGCCTCTTCTCAAGTCGTTAAACCAGCCTCTTCTCAAGTCGACCTGAAGAACCGGAGCAAAGCGTCAGTCGAGCCAAACGAAGGCCAGGAAAGCCCGCCCTCTCACAGCCCGGCTCCTGCTGGTTCTGAGGGTCTCGTCAGACCTGAGCACTCTGCTGCTGGAAAAGAAAAGTCCTCGTCCTTCCTCAGTCTTTTTGCGACGCCTCTCGGGGGTTCTGGTCCAGGTTTTCGGCCTCAAACATCTCTCGCCTCGACTCGGCTGTCAGCGAAGAAACCTGGACCCAACCCTCAACCCACAACCTCTGGTTCAGAGTCCACCTCATCCGGGCTCAGAGCTGGACCTCCTGTAAGCTGCCAGAGTCTGAGACGTGAAGAAGCTGTGGTGAAGCAGGCCGTGGCTCCAGTTTCCCATCGATCTGACTCCTGCAGCGAGCAGCGTCCCCCTGAGGTTTCACCCCCCAGAGGTGAGGCTCTGCCTGAACACAGCTCATTCAGCTGGTGAAGCTGTATGTGACCCGTCATATCAAAATGAGGATGAAGTCAAATTTAGTCAAAATGACCTCATCACATTTTCAGATTCCTGCTTTAAAAGCTACATGTTGACACTGGATCACCCTGATATCATCAGTGGATCCAGATACAGATAAAGTCACATACAGGGGTTAGACAATGAAAGTGAAACAGCTGGTTTTAGACCATAACATCCTTTCAGACAGCTTCCTCTGTCGTCCACAGTTGATCCTGTTGGATGTGGTTTGTCCTTCTTGGTGGTATGCTGACATTACCCTGGATACTGTGGCTCTTGATACATCACAAAGACTTGCTGTCTTGGTCACAGATGCTCCAGTAAGACGTGCACCAACAATATGTCCTCTTTTGAACTCTGGTATGTCACCATAATGTTGTGTGCATTGTAATATTTAGAGCCAAACTGTGCTCTTACCCTGCTAACTGAACCTTCACTCTGCTCTTACTGGTGCAATGTGCAGTTAATGAAGACTGACCACCAGACTGGTCCAGTTTAACCATGAAACCTCCCACACTAACATGACAGCTGTTTCAGTTTCATTGTCTGACCCCTGTAGATGATTTCATTTGTCTTGTTGGTTACATTTTCAATGTAAAGCACTTTGTAACATTTGTTTAGAAAGGTGCTATACAAATAAAGTTACTGTTATTACTATTATTATTATTGTTATTGTTAGTAGTAGTAGTAGTAGCAGTAGTAGTAGTAGTAGTAGTA